GTCGACACAGTTACTGTGGTGAGTCTGGTGTCCCACCGCTGGCTGCCAGGCTGGAAGGGTGAGGCCCTCTGGCTCAGACCGGCTGGCTCGGTATTCGGTCTGTCGCTAGAGTCCCGTTCAGACGTCAGCATAGGCCGGCCTCACCACTGCTCCTTTACAGCCTGCTTTCATCTGCTCTTTAATGAGGAAACCACCGGCTCAGCAGCGTGCTATTAAACACAGGCAAATTAAAGCTCCAGAATATGAATAAACTACTCTGCCTAATTCAGTAAACCAAGCTCTGCTTCAAATGAATCTGAATCAACTGTCTGTAAAGATGCAAAAACCTGTTGGAGATCAGCTCAAAGCATTAGAGGAGATACTGTGGTAACAAATACCTCTCGAGCTTAACCCACTAATTCCTTATAATCACAATCAGAAAAATGCCAAAGCACACTGAAGAGGCAAGTGCACCACTTCCCATAGAACAATAACAGAGTGAGTCACAAGCCCACAACACAACCCCTGCCACCAGCGACTCACCACAGTCTGCTCCGACTGCCGCTCAGACAACAGCAGCTACATAAAATGTCAAACTGCAGCCTTAAAAACAGAATGCAAAATAAAACAAAACCACACTTGTTTTCCCCCTCTCGTTTCATTGTAATGATGGAAATAAGGGCATCATTCTGAGATTAGTGCTCCTATTTCTCCTCGACTGACGATTTGCTTTTTATGAGTCTGTACTGAAGAGTTTTGGAATAACTGAAAAACACACAGAGGAGAATGATAGCAGTATTGTAGACAGCTGTCAAGTAAAACTGATTGATACAAATCTCCTGAAATATGAAACCAGAAGGCTCATATCAAGTAGGCAAGACACATTGAATTAGAATAACATTTTATTCATTTCTACTTGACTCTAGAATAGTTAAGTGTTCAGCAGAGTTGATTCAGTGACTTCAAAGTGAGCAGATCCTATAGCTACAGAACAAACCCAGTTCATGGCACTTCCACCACTGTGCTTGGACGTTGACATGAAGTGTTGGGCTCCTAACGGAGCACTGCGCATCGTTTACAATTATCGCCATTTTGGTTTCATCTGTTAAAACATCATCAATGAAGCCTTCTTCTGTTAACCCTTGCAGATAGGCTTTTTATCTCATCATAATAGGTAAAGTCATAAACTTTACCTATTATGATGATGAGTCTGATATACAGTACAACTCATGTTTTCCTTTTTTAATTTAAAATTTTTTTTTTTTGAGCATTACACAGTGTGACCCCTGGGGGATCACGATAGCTCAGTGGTCAGTGCCACAGTACCATCCTAAGGCTGCAGGTTATCACCTGGTTGTGACAGGAAGGACATCCAATGTAATGAATCCACCCAATTCCTGGGGGCTCTACTGTATAAATGAGTACGGGTACAACTTCCTGCCAGACACTGGAAGTTCATTCAACCTTTATTTAAACAGATAAGTCACACTGAGCCTAAAAGACTCATTTACAAGTGAGACCTGTTTGGACATACAATAAAAGTGGTAAACTGGACACATGTAGGAATTGGAGGCAAAAAAATTCCTATCAAACTTTTTTTTTTCCTGCCTGAGAAAAAAAAACCCTCTGATATTAAAAAACACCTTGCACAAACAAGCACATAGTGACATAGACATTCTGCAGAGGGGGACGACGAGAGTGGTCAGCAATGCTTATAGATGCTCTTGAGGTCACTGTAAGGGTTCTGATAAAGATGTAATAATCAGCCAATGTCCTCCGGTGAGATCCATAAACATTCTCGAGGTATGTCAAGGAACGGCCAAGAATAATGTCTATGAGAATCCAAGAGTACTGAAATGATGACACAAGTTGTTTATTCAACAGGTTTCATCTGGTTATCAGTTGGAAATTCCTTAGGGAGGGGGTGGTGAGCGTCAGATCACATTTTCTCCAGGCAAATTCAGATAAGATGGCCTTCATGGCCAGCCAAGGGAGCCAAATTCAGATAAACACACAGTTGTTTTGGGGACAGGCAGAACTTAATGGCATCTACCTTGAGTCTGTGTTGGTCCACTCGGTTCCGAAATGTCCAAATTACATGGCCACACCAATGGAACGTGACTGAGTAAAATCCTCAAGATCTGATCAATTCTGCCCAAAGCATTCGAGTCTGGGTACTTAAGGCACGAACCAAGCCATCAAGAAGGCAAGCAGCGGGATCGGGTCCAAATTTGCTGCCAACGACTTCCTTGATTGATTGATAAAACCAGCAACCAGCCGAATCCAAAAAGCAGGAACCAGTTATCAAAATCCAATTAAATATGCATCCTTAAAATCCACAAATGGAAGCAGAGATAGACACATCATCAAGTTTTCCAAGTCGATGAGATATCCAGCTGCGTGCATGCCAACAGGGCAAATCAGCTCGCCTAAAGCTTGTCTTAGCTTTGAAGAAATGTTGTAAATTGAGTTGAAGGACCAACTGATCAAAACAAGTCCATAACTATAGTTTGGAAGATATGCAAGAGAGGTTCACAAGCAGTTTCACAGACAGACAGAGCAGCAAAGCAAAGCGGAGAGGGAGGGGAGAAGCATTCGATTTCGGCAAGAGCAAGTGGTGAAGTAGCAGTATTGGTTATCCATGGTAGCGGAGCATGGACCGCAGTTTATTTGAAAGTTATTTGCATTCAGTTTAGCAGATAAAACACTGTTTTTGTTTTGTTTCCATTTATTTAACAACCCTAAAGTTTACTGAAATAGCCGTGCTGAGTTCAGGTGCCTGTTGTGTTGTTCGTGGCTGCACCAACAAACATCCATTCATCCATCCATTATCTTTACCGGCTTGTTCCATTTTGGGTCACGGGGGTCGCTGGTGCCCATGTCCAGCAATCACTGTGCGAGGGGCGGGGTACACCCTGGACAGGTCTCCAGTCCATCACAGGGCCACATAGAGACAAACGAGACAAACAACCATTCACTCTCTCACTCACACCTAGGGACAATTTAGAGTTACCAATCAGCCTAACATGCATGTTTTTGGACTGTGGGAGGAAATCGGAGTACCCGGAGAAAACCCACGCATGCACAGAGAGAACATGCAAACTCCACCCAGAAAGGCCCCTGGACCGGGGTTTGACACCAACAAACAGACCAAACTAAATCAGTGGCTAAAACAACAGAATTTTGAACATGGACCCAAAACAGAGTGTTCCTGTGAAGAGGTATGGTTTCCCTTCGCCTACCTACAGATGAGGAATTCAGAAGAACGTGGATGAAAAATGTGAACTTGAAGAGACCACCCAAAACGCTGCATGTGCTCTTTGTGTGGGGCAGCTGTGGCTGAGTGGTTAGAGCAGTCGTCCTCCAATGCAAGAGTTGGGGGTTCGATTCCACCAGCAGTCACATGCCAAAGTGTCCCTGGGCAAGACACTGAACCCCTCGCCTCCGATGTATGTCCCATTGGTGTATGAATGTGATAAAACTCTGATTATTCTATAGAGATCTAGTAGAGTGATGGTAAAGTGATGATAAAGGTCACAGCATTATAGTATTTGTTCGTTTTCAGTATTACAATTTTCTCTGCAATCAACCCAAACTCGGTGATGGAGGACTTTAAAGCTTTGGCTGAGCTCATTGCCTGCTTTAAGGTAAATAAGATCGTGTCCCACCTCTTTTAACAAAACACAGCTGACCAATGTGTGTAAATACTGACATGCCTCAGTTTTTCAGGTTGTTCATCGTTTCACCCTCGGAAGCAACTGAGTTAATGAAGTAGCTAAATATGCTAGATGTAATCTGCAGCCACTTCTTCAGGTCGTCCTCCATCCCTCGTCCTCAGCAGGCAATGGTATGATTATATTGTCTAGGTGGTGTTCCCACGTTTAAATTAAATCCACAATGCTTGGACAAAGTACATTAGCTCGTACTGTTCGCTCATAAACAAACGCCGGTTCTGGTCTGCACCAGAAGTCGCGCCCATAATTCACGCTTGGTAGCATGGGGGCTAGGAATATCTTGTGGGAGTTTGCTCACTGTGGTGGAGGTGAGTAACTGAAAGAAAAACAACAACACAGCCTGATGCCAGGGAGAAACACCTTCAGAGTCAGATTTAACAGGCTCACTGTAACATGATAGAGTTCAAACATCAGATGGACCAGTGATCTGGAAAGGAGAAGTAGATAAAGAAAACTGGTGGATAGACTTTGATAAGTCGTCCTTTCACTGTACACTGTAGAATGTAATTTATGAAAAATAAATAAGGTTTTGACATCATTAATGCGTTTTGTTAAAAAAGGGATTGTTTATTTTTTTCAGTGCTAGACAACAATATGAAATATATAAGACAGTTTATCCAAATAGGGGAAAAAAACAGTCCTAACTCGTTTTACATTGATGTAAGTCACAGAATATATGAAAATATATGAAACTGGACCACAGAAGGTGCTACACAATAAAGTTTTGTAGTTTACAGCATAAACATTATTGGTCATAAAAATAACACTCAGGTGGCTCAATAAGCAGACGTAGCAGAGAAAAGAGGTAAGTTCAAATAGACTTTATCAAAATGGCTTTGCAACATTGCACTGCAATGTGTACTTTACAAAAATAGCTAGATATTTTTCTCACAGCATTACTGGTCAAGAGAAAAGGGACCTTTACTGAAGTACCCAGACTAATGTAAATTTAATTAAAATTAAATGTTAAACAATTAAACAAATGAGATGATGTTTCTTAACAAAAAGGAATGTAAGTAACAGAATGGCATCATCGTTCTGCCTAAACAGGCATGAAAACAAGTCAGTAAACTTTGAGCCTCAACTGTGGGCAGCTTTGGTCACCTTGCTGGCGGTGCTGTAAATATGGGCATTAGAATAAAAATAGCATGGTCTTCTCTAAACACTCTTCTTTATATCTTCAAAACTAATGGCAGGGACAGCTTTAAGTAATCTAGGTAACAGGTATTTAGCACAGTTCTGACAAAAACAAGCAAAACTTTTTACATTTATGCATTTTATTTTCATCAGCCCCTTCAAAAAAAAAAAACAATGTTTTAGTTGCAAAGTTGTATGTAAACCTGCAGCTCCTAGTCATACCTCTGTATTTGGCTTTTCAATGCAAACTGGAATAAAGAACTGCTTTATTTCCTTTAAGATAAAAGCACCACCACAAATTCACCTAAAGCCACAAGGGTACATGTGTAAAAATACATTATGATAATTGGACTGCAGATCTGTGCTTCAGAGCAGGGCCTTAGTCTCTCCTGAGCATATTGGGATAAGGGACACTGGGGTGTGTGGTTCTGAGGTGTGTGTAATAGTCTATGATAGCAACATTGTCAGCCATCCTCCCCCCTCCTTTCACTGGCCTTCCTCTTCGCGCAGAAACTGGAAGACGGATGAGAAATCCTTGTTAGCGTAGCCGCGTGAGCACATGATTCGGTAGATCTGGTGGGCAAGGGATCCCAGAGGGATGGGGGTCTTTGTGTTGGTGGCAGTGTTTTGGGCCAAACCAAGATCCTTTAGACAGTGACATGAAAAGAGAGCAAGAGAAAACAGTCATGTAATCATTCTTTATAATTTCATATTTTAGTACATGAGCAGAAACATTACTTTTGTTCCCTTAAGACAAACCAAGACTGGATCATGGTGAGCAGAAAGGTCACCTTAGCAAAACAATATAGCAATTTTAAATTAAACAAATCATAAATTAGAGGCAAAATCATTTGGTTGGTGATCCATTTAGTCATAAAGAGAGATTAAAACATCAGTTTTGGATAAACTTAAAATTTCCAAACATTCATTGTGTTTTCCAAGACAAAGTTTGAAAAGTTCCCTCATGAAGTTAGCCTCTAAATTTAATAAAATTACAACTGCTGCTGTTAGGTAAAGAAAACAAAGACACCTTCAAACTGGGTGTGTTTGAGTTTTATGACCCCTACATGCATTTGGTAGACTTGGAAAGGGAATTTAACAGCATCCCATAGGGTGACCAGACCTACAGTTAGAACCAGGCCTGTCAGGATAACACATTTTGCTTGGCGATTAATTGTCTCAAAAATTATTGCGATAAACGATAATATTATTGTCAAATTTAAAAAGAAATGTTTGTTCATTTGTTTTGCATGTAGTACCTTTTCTGCTTTATGATAAAGTACAATGAAAACAACGAAGCATACGGCACATTATATGCCCTTTTTTACAAGCTATTATACAGCAATCTATAGCAAAGGCCTGGACAAGCAAAGATCTTGTATAAATTTTGACCTTAATTTATGGCCTTGACCTTAGAGTTGAAGTGATGAAAAGGTTATGTGACACAAGTGGTGGTACAAATGTGTACCAAGTTTTGTTAAATTATCTTGAGTAGAACAGAAGTAATGAGCAGGATAAGAGAATGTTTATGTACATATGCATATACAGATGGAGGCTTTACCATAAAATGTCCACCTTTCGACGAGTGTATAAAATGAATGACTACCATAAAAATTAAAAAAATAAAGCCATGACACAGAATCATAAAAGGAAAACAAAACTTGAAACTAGGAGAGACCTTACTTTGGCCATTAGCATTGTCCCAAAGCCACCCTGGTAGTTGTTGGCAGAAGGGACCCCCTCCATTACACCTGGGACTGGGTTATATGTGTCGCTGGACCAGCAACGACCTGAGGACATGTTCAGGATCTTTGAAAGCAGTTTGGGGTCCAAACCCAGTCTGAAGAGAGGAGAACAAGAAAGACAAGAACAGTTTAATCGATTGAAACTTTGATCTTTTTACTTAAATAAAAGTAAATTTTTGATTAATCTGAGGAAAATTTGCCAATTTCAGGTGGTGAACATACACTCGGAAGACTGAAAATACTATTTCTTCTACAAACGGTATAGAGTAGTTGGCAAATATAAAAAGATAAAGATAGATAAATAGAAAACAGAACAGGGTTTTGAGGAATTGGGACAGACAGGGCTGAGATTACGATGTTCATTTTTAAGTCTACAAAGAAGAAATGCAAGAAAAGATTGGGTTAGCAGCGCCTGGTGATGCTAGTGACCCCTGTTGAACTTTAAGCCTGGCTGTGATCATTCCTCAGTGTTAATGGCTGAAGCCTTTGTAATGCTGGCTAATGCAGTATTGATGTTCAGCATCAGGGCTATCCTTCATCGTCCTCTCTTCTGAGAAAGTGGAGGAGGAGAAGTGGCTAAACAGCACAGGGGAACCATAAACCCTACTGTCACATTTTGAGGTGCACTTGTGCTCTGCTCCATTTTGCAAAAACCTACATTTCATATGCAAGGGAGCAAAATCTCAGTGCTGTATGGAGAAAAAAAAAAAGCTAATGAGATGAAGAAAGGGACAAAACAGACAAAAGCTAGGAGTGAACGAGTGCCAACCATTACAGCAGGGAGGGTGTAACTATAGCGCCTGTGTCAGGCATTCAAATGTGCTTGTGCGGTACAGCTTTCGTAAATTAATGATATAAAAGGCCACCGTAAAGCCAACCACATCAAGTCCTAGCTGTTTTAGTTTATTGTTACTTAAAGGCCTATTCTGCTCTCAGTATGACGACTAAGCCATCATAGGTCCCTGAAAATCAGCAGCCCTCCCCGTCTCTTTTTCCTCCTGGCTTTCATTCAGCCATTACTACCACAGCTTTATTAGCTGTCTACTAACTAATTAAGAATAGGGATTGCTTTTATTTTCTTTGTGTCTTTTCCCTCCTTCCTTCAATGCTTATGTGTCCTCAGACTCCCTAATTGTTTAACCAGCAGTTTTGGAAATGTGGCATCAGTGGCAAATTTGTAAAAAAAAAAAAGAAAAAGGCAATTACACTTAGCTTTTTCAGTTTATTCCTGTACGCATGTCTCGCCATCCTGTTTCTCCTCTGCTCTTCCCCACCTTCACCATCTACCCTGACACCTCCCTGTCTGAGGACTCTTGGGGACATATGTTTGACATCGCAAATGCCCCCCCCCCCCCCCAAACTATCATATACACACACACACTAGCAGGGGGCCCCTCCCTGCGTTCTGGGTCAGCAGCTGAAAAGGTTACTGGCTGAGCTACAATAAAACGCGTCCGAGCACACAGATCGTTTGTTATAGCGACGAGAGACGCTGACGGGGAGCTGTTGTCCTCCGTTAACGATAAATCAATGAAGTTCTCGTCATGATCCTCACACACACACACACTCAGCTGTGGTTATTAGCTGACGCAGTGGTGTTGCTCTTCGCCTGCGGTAATTTGCGTAGAGAAGAGGACATGTCACGCTTTAACAAGACTGACATGGATAAACAGACCCGAACAGTGAAACAAACACGGCGCACGTTAAAAAGAGAGAGATGGAGCTACAGATGGAAAGAAGAGAGGAGGACGTTTGTGTGTTTATGTGCTCGGAGCGCTTAGCAGGTGGAGTTCATTTGCTGTGCAGATATTAAACGTCTGTTTCATCACGATTAGCTTTTCATCCTCATTGGATGCCAGATGAGAGGAAAACCAACCCGTTCCCCGTTTATTATTTCATTAAAGAGCTAACGAGCACATATACACAGACAAGCATTTACTATCCCACTTATAGAGACAATAAGCATGTTTATCGCCAACGTTTAATCTTTATCGCTACATATGCTCACACTTCATTGAAGTTCCTAAAAGAGAAGATGTTTGATCTAGTCATATGTCAGGCAGCAACACGATTTGACATTGTTCCTCCTAAAGTGAACAAATAAGCAAACATGTGCCTTATTGAATGAGTGATAACATAAAAAAAACATATCTGCAAATGCTCTCTTCTATCTCAGTCATCTTTCTCATGTTATGTCTTCTTTTTATTGTCGTGTGCATCATCTAGAACACAGCTGCTCCTCAAAATTATTTCCTATAGCTTATTTTAGATTTAGCACATTTGTTGGCAAAATAAGAAATATCAGTTACAAAACAGACAATTCAAGTCAATTCAGTTTATTTATAAAGTGTAGTGAACTAAGCCTCAGGTCAAAATCTGGCCCTGAGGGCCTTCCTGGGACAAGAACTGTTATTTCATTGATTTGAGTCCAGAAACACAAAATTAAGTTCATCCAGAGACTTTCTAAGTGTCCTGCACTGATCAATTGAAAGAACACTCTCTTTTTTCTTATCATTACTATTTTACAATATCTTGATAATCAAAAGTGTGTTTAGTTCAAATCATTTTTAAATGTTGAAGTGAACTACTTATTTTAAATCAACTGTGAAACAGTATTAATGATTTTTAATCCTCATTCAAAGTAGAAATCTAGTTAATGTCTGTTACAGAGTAATTATTCATTTTCTTGATCTTCTGTCTGAAATGAGCAAGTTGTGATGTCGGTCAAAAGTCGGAGACAAACGCAAACAAGTTTGTTGGAACGAACTGTCATGTTTTTAAATCCTCTCAGACGTAAATAGAGAAGCTGGCACCTGTTTCCTCCCATCTCGCCTAAACATTTCTCTGTCTGTTTCAAAAACATTTTTCTGTTTTTCTGACTTCTAGTGACCTCTTACGTCACTAAAACCACACCCCTGATTGGCTCTTTCAGCCAATCAGGACTTCCCAAATGAACCGGAAACAGAACTCTTTAAATGTCGACACTTGCTAGTTCCAAGCAGTGCAGTTCAGTTCGGAGAGCAGAACCGAACAGAAAAGTTGCTGGAGAGAACAAAAAGTTCCAGACATGATCCGAAGTTCTTCCGAGTCTCGTGGGGATTATGGAATCTTCCACATCTGAGTGGAACCTCTGACGGACTCACAGCTCATGTGAGTCCACCCGTGAGGTGAGCGTGGTGTTGAACAAAGTACCGTCACTACTTCGGACGATTCTCAGCTGTTCCTACGGAGACGCTGGAAAGGTAGCGTTAAATGGAACTCCGTACCAGTGGAGACATCTTCTACAAGGTAAAGAGTCGATTTCCACTACCGAAGTGTACCGAGGTAGAGCTGGGTTCGGATGGAGGGTGCCGTTCTTCGTCGACACATTTTCCCTCACACATCTTTTCTCTCCATTTAAACTCCCTCATTTCCCATCTTTAAAACTCTTCTACCTTGCCAGTAAATCATCCAGATATTTTCATAAATGTCTGTTGTAATTAGTTAAGCTGTGTTATTGCTTCAATCAGAATAATCATGTGTACAATGTTTGATGTTAAATTTTGATTCTGTTAATAAATGACCACATTCATTTTGATGGATCAAAGAAAATTAACGTCTCACGTCACTGATTAAACCATCTCCCACACAGTATCTCTGTCACATATCTGTCAAGTAGCTCGAAAAAGAGAGAACCCGTTTAAATTAAGTATAATATCAGGTACTTGAACTAGTCTAGATATTATAACGTGTAGTGGAGCTCCGAAGCTAAACGAAGCTAACCGACCTATCTCACTACAAAAGCGCCAAGTCACAACAGAAGTCATCTCAGGGCACTGAACAGAAACATTCATATTTAAAAATATTAATTTAACATTATTTATCTGAGGAGCAGACTGCTTTGAGTTCAACTCTATCACAGAACTCTCATCTTGAACAAGCATGAAGGCGACAGTGGAAAGGAAAAACTCCCTCATGAAGAAGAAACCTTTAGCAGAACCAGGCTCAGGACAAGCATCCATCTGCTTTGACCGGCTGGGTTTGAGAGGAACAGATACACAATGGCAGGTCAAGAATCACATGTTAAGATAGAAATAGTGTCAACAGTGAAAACTGTTCAATTTTAACAATTAATTTAAGGAAATGAGATCAATTTGTCCTCCAGTAGTCTAAGCTTAAGGCAGCGTAACAAGCCAACCCTAATTATAGGATTTATCAAAAAGGAAAGTCTTAAGTCCAGTCTTAAAACTGGACAATGTGTCAGCCTCATGGACAGAAACTGGATGTTGGTTCCACAAGAGCGGAGCCTGATAACTGAAAGATCTTTCTCCCATTCTGCTTTTGGAAACACTAGGAGGAAGCCTGCAGTCTGAGACAGAACAAATAACTAAATCAAGTAAAATATAAAACAAGAAAAAAATAAATCCAAAGCAAGAAAAAAAAAAAGAATGCAAAAAACTATGGTTTGCATATAGCCCTTGGAAAGTGTGTGTGTGTGTGTATAGACGTGTGTTCATAATTGTCATGCTAGGCCATTCCTTGCACTAAGAGAGCGTCACGCTCTGCTGGAGACAGCCAGCGCTTCCATCTGAGATCAACAAATTAGCTTCATGAACAGAACTGTGCACGATGTGTGTGCGCCTGTTTGTGTCTGCCAGCTTGTGCAGGTAAGGACCCCCCCCCCCCCCCGCCCACCACCACACACACACACACATTCATACATACACTTAAAGAAAGGGCAGCTCTATCAGGCACAGGCCTAGTATGATAAAATGTTGTAGCCAATTTTCTGTAAATTGGTTGTGAATGCTTGGTTTCTTTTGTGTTAGACTGCATGTGCGTGCGTGCGCATGTACATTTGCGTATTTCTCTGTGCATAAGGAGCTGGGCCGCAATGCAGCATGGGAGATTTACGGATGCGAATTCTCTTGAAATGATGACAGACTTTGTCAAGCCCTCTAATAAAGCCCAAGAGATGCTTGAGAAGGAAGACGTACACCCCCCCCCCCCCCCACACACACACACACAAATGCATGTTTGCACCATCAAAAATGTACAAGGGTCAGTCTAGCCACAAAAAAAAAAAGAAAAAAAAAAGCTAATTCCCATTCAAAGT